TAGTCATTACAAAAATTTTGTATACTGGCATAGGTTTTTATTGGCTTGGAAGAATTATTAATTTATATTTTATAACCTTAGCTCTGTTAAGATGAATGAACCCTGGAAAAAGGAGGAAAAGCATAGAAAAGATCAGAAAATCTTTGCTTTAACAGTAGTATAGGTACAAATGAAGAAACTGAATAGAAAGGCAAATAAAGGACTGAAGACATGAGTCAGAATCATGCAAATGAACAGATGCCCTGCAATCAGTGTGAGAAGAGATGTGTGCTTAATTAAACAAACAAACAAAAAAAAAGTATTTTCGGCTAAAAATAACATCTGCAAAGTTTATTTTATGTTATCAGAGCAGCAGGTGTTTTTATGTGGCAGTAGCTTAACTCTGCTTTGAAAGTATTTTGCACAAACCAGATTGTGACAGCACTACTTCAGCTGTCATGTATCCTGCTCCAAAAGCTGTCCCATTAGCTTCACTTGGATTCATGCTATGTTTCTGGTGATTTCAAAGGGAATAGTTGTTGCTGTACAAACTTGAGAACTCCATCTGAGTATTAGACATGCCAGCTCGAATGGACAAGACTGAGAGCTTGCAGGTCCTCAAGTATTTTTACTTTAAACATGGTTGTTACTGCCCCACAGAGTGGGAAGAATAATCTTGAACCACAAAAGACATGCATCTAATTTTTCCAGCTGTTGAAAAAAGAAAAACCAGCCTGACTTTCTTGTTAAGTCTAGTTCCTGCCACTTAATATTATTCAGTTGAAAATTTTAAGGTGCATCTTATTTGTCCCCTGACTAGAAGCTTCAGCCCTTTGCTTGTAAGAATAGAAAATATCCAAATGAAAATGGAGGACTTGATCTTCCACACTACTGATGCTGGATGTGCTTCCCTGAAATCAGCATCAAGACCACAGGAAGCTGTAGAAACTCTTAATTCTGTGGGTTGCTTGTCCACAAAAAGCCAGTAATGAAGAATTTTGTCCTTGATTTTGAAAGGAGGAGAACGCAAGTTTGGTGAAGCAGTGAGGTATTGAGGTAAATGTGATTTCTTGGAGCTCTGCAGCAGCATTAAAGGGACCAGTGGTGGAACTGGATTTCAGGTGATGTGTGGTGGATCGTGAGCCTCTGTTAAAGTGTGAGATGGTGCAGCATGCTGGCAAACTGGTGGGGCTGACAAGAGGAGTGGAGAAGTGAGGCAAAAGCAGCTCACAGAAGGTGTGGCAGTGGCAGCCAGCGTTTGCTGCACTCTTTTCTCCAGAGAATTGTAAAAACATGCTCAAACAAGGTTTCACCTTCTCCACTGAGAAGCCCTTGGAACAGCCTCAAACTGCAGTACCAATAGTGAGAGCTTGGGAGTAAAGCAAGGAAATGAACTGTAGCAAACCTAAGGTTAGCATAGTATTACCTTAGAGTCCTTGGGAAACTAAGAAATTAAGTGACTGAGTGAATGGTTGTGGAGCATGACCTTGCACTAAATCAGCCCTATTTTCAAGGGAATAAAAGGTGGTGACTGCAAATACTGCTTTTATTTGACTTTGTGGGGAACTCTCATACGATGCAACTAAAAGTCATGCAGATGTGCACTGTTCATAAATGCAAAGTAATGAATGCACTTAAGGACAAGTTAAAGCAGCTCCACTGATATGCATGCAGTGCTGGGCTCTCATTCAGTTCTCAGCAGTTAGGAAAGCTTGATATCACATTTAAAAACCAGATGAGGCCCAGAGCAGGAAAGAACAGAGGTGTGGAAGAGGGGAAGTTCTTAAAAGAAAGATGAAACTGGCTCTCCAGATGACAAAAAACCTGGTGAGGTGAAATATGATGGAGATTTAAGAAATCATGAGAGTATAGAAAAGGTGAATGGGGAGTGATTGCTCACTGCTTCTGACAATGCTGGTTCTAAAAGGTGCCCAATGCCATTATTCAGCTGCAGTTCTAAAGTGGAAAAATAATATCTCTCTTCACCCTTGGGGAGAGGTTAGTCATTTAAACTTATGCTTTCTAGAGGTAGGGAGTCCAAGAGAACAAGAAAAAAATTTGGAAAATCCGGTGTCCATTAGAGACTATAAAACATCTTACCTAAAACTGATTGTATGGTGTTGGAGGGAGGGGGTCTCTCTCCTGGCATGTGTTGTCTGTCACACTTTTCCTCTTTTCTCTTTTCCTGAACACCTGTGAGTGACTTGTTGTTGGAGGTGGGGCAACAGGGGACGTAAACCTTTGTTCTGACAATGTAGAAAAGTTTCTTCATTCATATATTGCAACTCTACTTTAAAATTTAGGTGTCCTGAATAAAAAAGCGTAGCGAATTTCTTATTTAATCAGGGCAACTTTCAGTGTCACAGCTGGCAGGAAGAAGTTGTTCAAGGACACTCTGAAGAACAGCAAGGCCTGGCCTTCAGCAGTATGCATGGATCGAGTGGTTTTGGCTCTCTGCTGATACTTTGCTCTGAAAGTGCCTGAATTACTTTGGTAACTGTGTATGCTGTGAGGCTCTGTGACAAAATGGAGCAAAAGCTGAAATTAAAGCTCTGCAAATTGCCTGGTTTATTGAGTATGGATGCTCAGACCTGGCAGCTCTGAGCATCTCTGATGCAGATGAAATTGATTCCCAGTGAGCCTGCACCATGCTGCTTATGACTGGGAATAGTGGATAAATGTATAAAAGTGTATTAAAGGTACTGCAGCCTTAGGAATAGGCACCAGCTGATCAAAACTTTCCAGACCCATGGGAGTGCTCTGCCATCTAAATAATACTTCAGTGCCCAAAGCAATTTGTGGCTTTATCCCTGTATTCTAAATAACTATTTCTCTAATTCTCCCACTGTCACTTTAAACTGAAAGAAAATTCTCTCAATGCTGCTATTTTCTGTTCTTGTCTTCAATGGTGATTCAGAATACCTGAGCAACAACCAAGCTGATTGCTTCCAAACCCGTAAATTTAGTAAAAATTTAAGTTTTAGTAAAGCTGATCGCTGGGAAAAGTTTTTAAAAATTAGCTCTCTGCCACTTTTGTCTTCAGTAGAATGACTTGTGAGTGAACTTCAAAATAAGAAATTCTCTTAAACATGCAGTGTTCTCTGCTTGTCAGAGACCTGTTTGCATCTGTGACTATGTCTGCTGCCACTCTACCCAGCTATAGTTGAGAAATTATTTTTCCTGTATTATTCTGTATTATTATTCTTCCTGTATTTTCCTGTATTATTATTCTTCCTGTATTATTATTCCTGTATTATTCTTCCATGCAGCTCTTCCCAATCGCCTGTAACAATCCTACAAGGTCATCTGATGACTCCATTATAAGAGTAGGGATTACACTTTTATTAGGCTTGGGATAGCCAAAGATAATTATTAGAATGGAAAGATGTTCTCAGAGTTAAACCAGCAGAAAACTGTAGTGACAGCAGGTATGAAGAGCACTACTGTCACCTGGATTTACACTGGCATTAAAAATAAGTTCTCATTCTGGGACCTAAAAAGTCCTTCTTGTTTTGGATCTAAAATTTTTTAACAGACTGTTAACACAGGAATCCTAAACTATTTTATTTTTTTTGTAGACAATTCTCTCTGTGTATACAATTCACATTTATTTAGCTGTTACATACTAATTTTTAAAAACATGTTTATATTAGTGGTCTCAACATAGGCAAATTACAGGGTTTAATTTTACTTTCACAAAAATTATGTATTATTCTTCTGAGTTCTGTGGTTTGCTGTTATATTTACAAAGTCTATTTTACTGAACTTATGTCCTAAGTCAAGGTTTTGCATACAGGCCTACAGAATAAAAGTTAAGTACAAGTTTAGGCTAAAATGCAGTTATTTTTCCAGGCTAAATGTTGAGGTAATAGTTCAGAAGGGAAAAGTAGAATCAAAGGAAATACCATAATGATGGAAGAACTGGACAGAGTGTAATACATTTTTTTTTGTTTTGCCTAATGGTTCTAAAGGCAAACAACCTTTCAGATATTGATTCTACTGTTCTCTGGCTTCAGCAAGAAATTTAATTAATTAAATTTCTGATAATTATATTAAGATGCCTATGTATCCTTATTCCCTGAACTAAATAACTAAAGAATAATTTTTAACTGATAGAATGTATACTGGAAAAAATTATTCAAGTAATTATTATCTACTGATGAAAAGCAGGTAAAATACTTAAAATACATGCTTTTTTAACTAAGATCTGCTTTTATATAATGATATTTTTAAAACATATTTCAAATATGTTTTCAAACACATTTCAAACACAAACCATTTTTTTTAACTTGATGCCTCGTTTATATTTTTCAAATGTGATTTTTTTTTATAAATGGCCACTGAATAATATTTTCGGAAAAGCACATTTTATTAATAATATAAATGTCTACATAAAAATAATTTAAATGTCATCCTCAGGATAGCCAGTCTCATTAATTCAATAATAACAGATGACATAACTCTGTTATTATTATTCAATAATAACAGATGACATGAACTCTTATTTATCAGAAAATGGATTTAGACATTTGGCTGCATCCACCAACTTTTCAATTTAGTATTCTTTTTTATTCAGTTGAGGTAGAGTAACTTAGACCATCTGAAGCAAACTATATTAGTATCTAGCAAGCAGAACTACTGTTTAATTTTGGTTTGGGTTTTTTTTTGTTTGTTTTAATATTTTATGCTTGCAGCAGCACCAACAGACCAACAAGTGTAAAGCTGATGTAAAATTTTCTTAGTTTGTCTTCCCGTAGCTTCCTCCTTAGGAAAGAACTGTGGAGCTCTACAAATTAAGCAAGAGGGCAGAAGCCATGGAAAGCAGGTCCTGGTTTCTTAGGAGGGTGTGAGTTACTAGTGCTTGGTGGTATATAAACCTTTACTTTCTTTAAAAATAATGGGTTTTTTTCTCTCTGAAGAATTTTTAGGAGCAGGAGAAGTAGCTGGTGGCCCTCGCAGCTCGGTGTCACTGTTGGGGTGACTCTGGAGCTTCCTGCTGTGCTGGATGAAAGCTGTGCTCGCCTCTGCAGGCAGGAACTCGTTAACACCCGGCCCTGCTGGGTGCTCCCTCACCCAGCAGAAGGAGAAAGGTTTGTGCCCCCTCCACCGAGGCTGGTGGAAAATCAATTTCCCACTTGTCACACCGTGGGCTATAGCTATGATATAGAGCTGAAAACCTCAGCACAATACCCAACAGGGGATATCTGTGTCCCCTGATGTTGTTCTGGTCGCTAGGAGCAGATGCCCATGTGTGCCATGTCCCTCTTCATCCTTAGCTTGTCCTTTATCTTTACTGATGAGAGGGTCTCAGGGCCAGGAATACATCCAAGATTCCTGATTCCCAAAGGGAGCTCTGCCCAGAGGTGCTCCACACCCACTCTCTTGTCACTGTTGAGATGGACACATGACATACACACACACTGCTCAGTGGCAACAATGGCTTCTTCTTTATTACAAGTTGTTCTTAAATTAACAAAGCGTGATCTTAAGTCATTGGTTACATCAACACAGCTTATTATATTCATTGGACAAAGAAGTAGCTTATTGTATTTTATTGGTAGAAATCAATTAACATCATTAATTGGCATGAATTTACAGCAAATTATTAAGGCACATACGCTGCTCACTAAGGCACGTATCCCCTAATTGCAAGTATTCCTTACTATCTATTGTATCAGTTTCCATGCTAACAGCTTTGCTGTCTTCCTTGCTGTGGATAAACTCGTATTTTATCCATTTCTTCTTCTGTTAACTCAGTCCTTTGGCCTGCAGAGCAGCTGCTGCTCTATGAAGCCTCTGCCAAATGGGGCATCCCAATTTTTCCAGCTTTCACGCTCTGCTGCTGTGCCTTGGCCCAGCTCAGCAGGCACTCAGTAGCTCCCAGGGAAGAGAAAAAACACAACCTCCTGTGCTCATGGTAGGAGCACTGCCATATCCTTCTGTGGTCCATATCCTGATGTGCCTGATCTGTGGAGCAATAGCAGAAAACAACATGGAACCTCGCTGCCTTTCCCCTTCTCATTTTCACATACATACATTATCTACACACTCTTGTTCCCAGGAAGACAAGGAGAAGGAAGATTATTCTATTATATTTATAATAATACCTAATTATATTCACACTTATCCTTCTGTGGTCCATATCCTGATGTGCCTGATCTGTGGAGCAGTAGCAGAAAACAACGTGGAACCTAGCTGCCTTTCCCCTTCTCATTTTCACATATATTATCTACACACACTTGTGCCCAGGAAGACAAGGAGAAGGAAGATTACTCTATTTATAATAATACCTAATTATATTCGCACTGAGGATTGCTCTGTTTTATATAAAATACTTCTCACATTGGAGGTTGACCTCTGGTTTTAATCTAGAGATGTTTGTTCCTGTGTTTGCATGATCTTGTGATCTTTCAAGAACTCCTTGCACAGTTCTTTCACTCTGGATAATAATAAACATTTGTTATCTTCTTTTAGTAATGATATAAGAAAAAAATTAGAAATATTATATATTTATTAATTTATGCTAACTCCTGGATTTATTTTAGGCCTAAGCCTACAAAATGAATCATGCAGCAGATGTTGCTTTTTTGTTTCCTACAGTGGGAGTCAGGCTGAATGACTACAAGAGGTGAAGAGGAAGAATAGCCTATGGATTGTATCCATCTTTCTTCCTACTCCTTGAGTTATTTTTGTTTGTATGGTCATAGACCTATAAATGTGTAATAGAATACTGCCCTAAGCTATACCATTTAATACAGTATAATTGCATTAAAAAACAAGAAGAAATTTTAAAAACTAAAAGACCTTATGTTGCTGAAAGGTAGGGTTTAAAACACAGTGGATATGTTTGTATTCTATATTTAAAAACAAACTGACTTGTTTATCCTCTGAGGAATCTGCAGATTAATTGAAGTGAATACTCACTGGAAATATATTAAAATGTCAGTATATTCAGCCATTTATTAACTCTATCTGCCTCTAAATTCTAATAAATTCTGCAGAATGCTTTTATTATAGAAAAGCTATTAAATACACTTTATCAAATGAATGCATACATTTTTTTTATCCTTTTTATTCTTTAGTATATGTTGAACAATGATTATAGTGCTGTTAGCATAAAAAATATATTAGTAATCATAATGCAGTAAATTATGCAGGTTACAGAATTAGAACTGTTCAGGCAGTGGATTTAAACAAAACTCTTTAAACATGTATTCATTCACCTTTTAAGATTGTATTTAGTCATGGATTATTGCTATCTGAAGCTTTCCTGCATTGTGTTCTTAAAGCCTATAATTTTCTGCTGATGAAGTTGGTAATTAAAATAAAATTTTAAGGTGTTCACAGAGACAGACAGAAGAGTCCATGACAAGAGTATTTGGTCTCTAAGAATAAATTGCTTTCTTTTTTGATTGTCTACCAATTAGCTTGAAGCCAGTGAGGTGATGCCATCTATAATTCAGCTCCTGTAATGCAGGAGCTGACGTGTAACTCGTGTGTGTTCCCTTTCCACACAGGGACTGTGCCCCATACAAGGACATGGGGGAAGTGCAAAGGCTGTGTCAGAAATGAGCATCTGCTGCTTCATGCAGCAAATTAGATTTTTCACAAAGCTTATGAAAAAAATATGCTACAGAACCAAGCCTTGCTCCTCCATAGTCTTCACCTACTGAATGTAAAAGTGAACAAAACCAGAGGTTTAATTATAACAATCTCAAGCATTTTAAATGCAAGTAGTATTTTCCTACTTAACCTTGTTTGTCTTTAAAGCTATTTCACAGCCATGGGACAGGACACCTTGCTGATTCACATCTTGTTTTACTTTTTCATTTTAATCCTCTGATCCTTGGGTACAGTCAGCTGTTCTCCCAGGATGTTCTGACTTGCATCAGATCTTTCAAGGTCCCCACAAATATGTGAAACAAGTGGAGGCTCACCTCTGTACTGAGAGAACTTGCTGAAAGGAGGAAGGAGAACCCAAACCCTCTGTGTGCCAATGCTATGTGTCATTTAGCTAATATAAATAATCCAGAATTTATTCTTTGATAAAAAGGGAGGGTAAAAACATGAAACTAATACTTGCCTTGGACTCCAGGTCTACGTTCTCCTGTATGGCAAACTAAATTGCACCTGCATAACAATTCTAAAATAAGAAATTTTTATCTATGTTGAAACTGGGTTTAGATTTTGGTATATTGCCATTTTTCAATTGCATTTATAACTTTAATTACGGAATTCAAATTTACTAAAGTTATTAAATTTTACCAATGCATTTTTTTTACTGGCTAAACTTTTCACTTATTCATGACAGCATGCCTGAGGACTATTCAGTGTTGCCTGTTAATTTTAGAAGCTTTTTATTCTGCTGATACATTTTATCATAATGAGACTATGCTTTATCTTGAAAGGATGTCATTCAGGAAGTGTTTGGGTGAGGTCATTCTTGCTTTTTTTAAAGACTATTTATACAACAATTCTCTTCAAGCTTCTGCAACTTTGCTCCTAGAACACATGGCCTCTCTTCTCTGCTTTATGTTAGAATTCATAGATTTTTTTCCATCTGCTCTCCTTGCACAGCTTGCAAGGAGAATAACCTTTCTTGTGAGGCATTGGAGTGTCATCCCAGGCTGTGCTGGCTGGTGACCTTCTTTCCTGTAAACCTTCAGCTGGCCACATTTTGTTTTGCTTTATTTTGTTTTGTTTTTTACTCCATCCTTGATTCCTCCAAGAGTTTCAGAGGTTCCTCTCCTTATTTCCAGTCCATGCTAGCAGAGAAGACATCCTGCATTAGGCTTTTCCCTCTCCTGCTTCTTGACTGTGAGCCTCATGACTGAGGCTGACAATAATAAAACTATTTAGATGGAGTCCCAGTGAAATAAAAAAGCGGAAGGTCATTGGCTTGACCAGATCAGCCAAAAGTTTATAATTCTACCTATTCTAAAAACTAACATGAAGACAGTTTTCTTTCAGGGAGTTTGTTGGTGATTTGAAATTGTTTGTCTGTGTAGGGCTTCTCAAAGCTTCTTAGAATTTGTTTTTGAGTTCCAAGAAGGAGGAAAAAGTCCCGTGTTTTATAGTTATAATAGGGACTCATTATAAAATTAACTGGAATTTAGGAAAAGTGTTGAGGTCTTTTTAGTTGTGCACCTGTGGAAAATGTTCTGGTTTATATGGTATGTTTACATTTAGAATTATCCAATAGTAATTCCATGTAAGAATCCCTCATTTGTTTGATTTGTGTAGGAATGCTGATGATTTTGTGCTATGAGATTTCCTATATTTGCTAGTAAAAATGTACAAAAACGTTATTTAAAAACTGCAACAGTAGTTTGTAAAAAACATACAAAGTTTAACAGCATACGAAGTAGCATTGTAATTTCTGGTTTGTTTTTTTGCTTAGAAACCTTTGAATATTCAACTCCTTTGTGATGGAAAATGTAGACCTCTCTAAGATTTCTTTTTCTGAAAGATGCAACTTTTCCAAAAGTTTCAATTACCAAACAAGTGGGTTTTTAAAAATTCTGTTGATTCTGAAATGAAGATTTTTTTTTTTTTTTTCTTGAATATGTTAATATTCTGGTGAAGATTTACACTTTTGGCAAGTGCTGAGATTGCACACTCTGTATGTAATAGGGTTACAAAACTATTTTCGTATAAGCCAAATGCAATTCTATTCATTTGCAAAAATGAAAGCCATTAAATATTTACAAGCAGAGAGAAAATTGAGAACAGCAAGGCAAGTTTTTAAAGGATTTTGGTGGTTGATTCCAATTACAGCTTTTTAATAAAATCATACTTTATGGTGTCAATATATGTAAATGAATCTTCATAATTACATTATGAAGATTTACATGCCCTTTTTATTCTGTTGTCAATTCTTTTGGCTCCCTGAAAATAAACTTTGTGTGTGTTTCTACAAAACAGAGACATGTTAAACCAAAAAGGTCTTTTTTGGATCCATAAATTGTTCTCCTGACTGCTACCAGACATGCTAGAAAAACAGTCGATTTCATTCACAAGCAGATCATTAGGAGGACCTGGTTTGCCTTATTTCTAGATTTAAGGGATATCCTGTCTTATGTGCTGCATC